ACATGATTATGTAGAGATGATATTTAGTCATAAGTCTTCATACTTCCTATCCGTGCTTAGTCTATTTTATAGCTTACAGCAATCACAACAGATCATAGTTGGAATTGAATTATAGTCCAAAAATGTTATTCTGCTAATATATTAAATAAACCTGAAAGTTTCACATAAGCAGGAGCTTGTAAGGCTGTTACCCCAAATTAGAATTTGTTTTAGCATCTGACATGGACCATTAAGCTCATTCAAGGGAATGAGCTTAATGTTGAAAAGTATTCTTGAATGACCCTGCTGACCCTGGCGTTCCGGGTAGAAAATTGCTTTGCTAGTGAACGTTGGATAGAGCATATGGCACATAGGTAATATGTGAAATCTTGCTACTCTTTTCCTGTATTTCTGCCCCAAACTCCAAGGGGGATAAAGAAAAGAAAACAGGTAAAGGGAGGAAAGAACTTTTGGACACTCAGGTAGCCCTCAGACTGAGCAGTCACAGAAACTTCCAGGTGGCTCTAGAAGGGTTTGCTGTGTCCATATGTGCTGTTATAACCTTAAAATGGTACAACAGGGTATACCAGGAGGCGGCAAACTTTCCCTATAAAGGGACAGATAGATAGTAAATATTTTATATTTGTCACAGCTATGCAACTCTGCCACTGCCGCATGAAAACAGCCATAGAGAATAAATACATGATGGAATGGGTGTGGCTGTGTCCAAGAAACACTTTATTTACGGACACTGAAATTTAAAGTGCACATCATGAAATATCATCATTATTCTGATTTCTTTTAACCATTTAAAAATGTCAAAACCACCCTCGGCTCTTTGGGTCACATAGAACAGGCTGCAGGCTCCATTTGGCCCATGAAGGGTAGTTTGCTGACCCCTGGTCTATACTGTTGGAGAGTCACCAGGTCATCATTCTGACTTCATGATAGTCCTCACCAATCTTGCTTTCACAGGGCCTGCTTCTCTCCTTTCTGCCACTGTTGCTGGGGCTGTACAGACATTAAAAGTAACTGATATAGGGGCTGGCCCTGTGTCCTAGTGGTTAAGTACAGTGTGCTCTGCTTTGGCGGCCTGGGGTCAGTTCCTAGGTGCAGACTACACCACTCGTCAGCAGCCATGCTGTGGTGGCAACCCACATACAAAACAGAGGAAGACTCGCACAGATGTTAGCTCAGGGCGAATCTTCCTCAAGCCAAAAAAAAAAAAAAAAGTAACTGATATAAAAAGATAAAAGTTCTTTTAATGCCTCTTTTTATCCTATCTGGAAGATTTTTTTTAGGTTTATTTCTTAAGCATCTAAGAGGACATTACAGTCTGAGATTATAAAACTAGATAGGTTATAATCTATTTTCCAATGCTTTTAAGGAGATTATGTTCTAAGGCCTACTACTATTACTTAATTTAAAAAATCCAGAAATTTAATTTAAGGGACTGCACATTCTCATTTTTTAATAAACCACATGGCAAAACAATACTTTATTTAATAAATGTATAGGAAATTACAATTTGAAAATTGCAAATACGTACATATACATATACTATGATCTTAAATTACATGGACAAACCCCAGCTTCAAAATCTTTCTAAAATCAATCATATGCAAAATACCTGGTTTCTGAAGGGGCATATGGAAAAGTATATACAATTTCTTAAACTGTGATATGGCTTACTTAATAACATCTATTTATTTAGAGAAGCATAAGCTTTCCAAATATACAGTAGTTTCCAGGTGCAAAGCTGACATACTGGCACATTTCAATTTTGTGTTAGTTATTTCAGAATATACTTAATTGCAGTATTTAAATTGACACTGTCATAGATTTAACTGGGAAAGTCTCCATAAATGTTTTCCAATCTTACCAAAAATCAAAATGTTTCTTGGTCCTCACAATGATTAGAAGAACAGGTTAAACCCTTGGTAAGCGAGAATTCATGACAGGCTGTCCCGAATGCACTCACACAGTTCAATACTGAGGAACTCCCACAACAATTTCTTCTTTCCAATTTGCATGCTCCTTCAACATCACGAACAATATCCCAGGCTGGTGATCTGTAAAACACATCTGAAGCCCTGTCTGGCAGGATGCACATGACAATCTGTAGTTAGGCTTTGCAAATGCCATTTTGGTTCGAGAGATATTAAGCTTCATCACTTATCTGGAGATCAGACTTGCCTCCCCTCGACACAGCATACAGCGAGGCGTCACTACTCATGTGACTGATACCCACCTGGCTCAGGAGCTGAGCTTGGGTCAAAGACACACGGAACCAAATGAACTAACCTTATATCTAGGAACACATTATGTAACTTTAAATTTACTCTATGTAAGGCAGAGGCAACAGCAAAATTCCCTAAAACCTTATTCCAAAGGGGCTCAAATTCTGTAAGAACACCTTATTTGTTATGGTGAACCTATTAATATAAATGTATAAAAAGAATATAAATTTAGCTAATTGTGCTTGTTTCAGAAGTGAATGATTATCTCTTCTAAAGTAGAGGGAGTGGTTGTTTGAGGAAACAAAACCCAGAGCCTTACTAGCAATGAGCTTCACTTGTGGTTGCATAGTAGTCTGTTTCTACTACATTTATTCTCTCAAGTTCAGTGTGCAGAGAAATCTGGATAGGGAACAATCAGCTGTTAAAAAAAGGTTCTTCCCCGCCTAGAAACACATTTATAAGTGGTCTTTGTCTCTGAAAGACACAAACGTGTCTTTCTTCACATTAATGTGAGGCTTTTCCTCACATTAAAATGAAAGGGAAGCTCATGTATCTGATTTGCCTATGTCTATTCTGGGAAAAGTCTACTACAGACAAACACGGCCAGTGAGGACGCCTGGGTTCAAGAGACGGAAACAGAACACAGAGACTCCCAAGAGCAGGACACTTAGTTTTAGAAAATGGAAATGAATCATCCAAAGTTGAAGAGGAAACAGTAAATAAGGAATCTAGTGATCTGGCAAACAATACCAATGGGAGCTGCAAGTCGTGAAGATCTGGGCTCATGTGACACAAGGCGCAGCTAATGGCACTGTATGCAGGAATTCGGTTGCTTCTAGTTCTGCATTTCAAAGCCCTCTGAAATATGCCTTATTGAACTACATCCCCCACATTATATTTCTAAGGCAGCATGGTCATTAATGAAACAATAGATCTTTTCCTAAAATAAATCAAAAGGCTGCATCTGGCCAGAACTGTGAAACACAGGTTTATATATACAAGTAACTGATTATTTGCAAACGGTAATTAAGATACATTGCACTGAAGAACTGCCCATTTGTTATGCTGTGACCTGTTTTCCCGGTGCAAAATGAACAATGCTAGGTGTTTATCCAAACTCAGCCACGGCTCTCCACAGGACAATGGGGAGCTCGTTCTCTGAGAGCTGGGCGAGGAGCCTAACTCGTGGCTGTAGCTCAGCGGAAGCTGTGCGGCCCCTGGTCATATCTGCTACGTTCACGTCCTTCGCTGTGGCTTTTGTCAAGTTACAAAAAGTTAAATCTGTCAATTCTCAAATCACACAGACCCAGTGAAGTACAAGTACAAAATCTGTAGTTCTTGCTACAAAAAAACAAAGCACAGGAAACTTCATGTATACTTCTCATTTTAAGCAGAATATGATAATTAAGATTTACAAAAGTTTTCAGTATTTCTGCATTTTACAAAAGGATCCTTTTCAATCCTCGAATGGATTTTAGACTGTTTTATCAAATAACTTTCCAAGGAAGAGGTCAATATGAAAAGTCAGATATACCTGTTTAAGATAAAGTTTACAAGAAACAAGCTCAGTAGATACCGGGAACTGCAAATATGGGAAAATTCATTAGCATATAATGCATATTCTTGTTCTTCCTCTTGCTAGGTACCCAAAGTCCATAAATGCCCAGATGTCCACTGAAGTCCCTCTCATTTATTCTTACTTGCCTTCTATATTTAAGAATATTTTGATTTAAACAGTTTATATGCTCCTGAAATTTTTGAAAAATTCAAATCATTGTTTTAAGTAGATTCACAATAAGAATCCCATGAAGTAAAAATTTCAATTCAAAAAACACTTACTGGATTTTATTAGATACCATTAACCCTCATCAACCCTTTTATTGGATACCATGAACTCGTAACAATCGTTTAGGTAAATCCAGGTTTTATCTTAGGTTTACTTACAGTGAGGAACTTGGCAGAAAGATGAAAATGTGTTTCCTATTCTTCATTTATATTATAAGTCATCTGCATGCCTATATAAAATTTCAATTCACAACTTGTCTGGTATGTTGTTACTCTGCTCTGATTCTCTGAGGAACCCAAGAACCATATCCATTCTTGGTATAAGAAACTGTCTCTGTTGAAAATGGACTCCAAATGTCCATAAAGATAATCTCAAAACGAACAGTTGCAAAATGAAACATGAAGATTCACAGTTGCCTCTTTAACACAACTCTTACCAATTAGGTTGCCTTCGGTTTGGAAACTTTTTGCTTAGCCTTCCTACCACACAGATGTAATGTCCATCCCTATTCCAGCACTTTACACACACACACGCACAAAGTCAAAAACTCTTGAAATTGTTGTTTTCTCAGAGGAGTATCTTCCCTCAATCCCTGTGAGCATTTCTGCTATGGTATTATTGGAAAACCTCAAAATGATATCTTAAGAGTTTCTGGAGCCCATGGAGAATCCCTAACCCAAATCATCAAACAGAAATTCTCTCCGGAGGAATGTGGTCAACCTACACGTCAGAGGTGAGTATTACAAACTGAACCTTAGCCCTCCAGAGCTTTACCCTGAAAGGGCACACAGATTAACTGGTACAAAGGCAGGAAGCAAGTCCCAAGCAAACTTTCTGTACAAAACGTAAGGCAGTTCTTAGAAGGACAGAGGATCACTGTTTACACTTTGCAGTCTCTTGTTGTTCTTAAGCAGAGATAATTCCAAGAGCAATGATAGTGATTTCAGGAAGACTTAAATTTGAAAGTCCACACCCCATCCTCGCTTCTATATTTCGTTTTAAATTATCATATAGTAATTTGAGTTTAAGATTAATTTCTGCCATTCAGAATAATATTGAAAATATTTCCTAAATAATTTAATGACAGTGACCATAATATGTAAAGATTTGGTTCTGGTAAGATTACAAATAACCAAAAATGCTAACTTTGAGATTCAAAACCCTGTAACATCTGGAAAAAGTTGTTAATAAAGTATTAACTCTAACATTAAGACTTATTTTTGAAATAAAACATTTCCAAACACTTAGGAATACATGCTTATTCCACTCTCTGGATAATTACTAGTACTTTCTGAAATCTGTTGAGAAATATTTTCTGTAAAAAAAGAGAGCTGGGTGTCAAATTCCAGAAGCTGGGTGTCAAGATTACATAATAAAAAAATTCAGTTTTCCAGCACTGGCTTGATATAAAATGGTCTTTTAAGTAAAAAGGATTTTTAAATGCAAATACTGAATTCTTGATGCCTCCTTTAAGATCTGCACTCTGTCATAATTAATGAAGTATGGTCTTGGATTGTCTTCCATGAGGTATCTGTAGAGTCATGTCTCATTCTGTAAACAGTGTTTTGGAAACATCTTCATCTAAAAATCATGGTGAAGTCTCATTTTACCATCAAAGAGAAACCAGCACTGTCAGGCTGGAGTGACTTTTTAAGAGACAAGTGCTTGGTACGGACACAGCTGTCAGGGATTCCATTTTCTCATTAGGTGTGCATTTATTGCTCTCAGGTCTGTGACTGCAGGAGAAATAAGGTAGTAGTCCCCCAAACATCAAATTAGGTGCTGGAACTCTGACAGTTTGCACAAGTTCTGTCCACTTCTTGCCTGTAACTCTGAAGCTGAATGGTACATTTATACATGCCAAATGTGTGCAATAATAAATGCTTTGCTTTGGACTGTACTTCCTCCCATTTAGATGAACTTCCAGGAACTGCAATGTCAAGAAAATAGCATTACTATTCATTGCACGTGGTTACATGTTAGTGAGTAAGACACAGGGAAAAAACAACCTTAATATGCTGTGAGCATATTTAGATTAGTTTGATTTATACCCTCTTGAAGCTATTCTGTTAGAGAAGCATGTCAGTTTACAAAGCCAGAACGACTTCTCATTATTCCAATCTCTTTAGTCCACTGTTAGGTAGAGAATACTAGACATCAATTACAAGTCTTTTGTCTTTTGCGCTTTTTTAATAAATGCACATGCGTGTATTATTTTGATTAAAAAAATAAAAAACAACAGTCTGTGAAACGATTTAAAGAAATAAAAACATAGGGGCCGGCCCAGTGGTGCAAGCAGTTAAGTGCACGCGCTCTGCTGCGGCGGCCCGGGGTTTGCCGGTTCGGATCCCGGGTGCGCAAGCCATGCTGTGCCGGCATCCCATATAAAGTGGAGGAAGATGGGCATGGATGTTAGCCCTGGGCCAGTCTTTCTCAGCAAAAAAAGAGGAGGATTGGCAGATGTTAGCACAGGGCTGATCTCCTCACCCAAAAAAAAAAGAAATAAAAACATAGAGTCTAGCTTTTCTTATGTAGAAAAAACATGGTAAATACACTTAATGCCTTTTACTTGAAGGCAAAAATCAATCTGTAATGTCTTATCTCAAAGAGATCAAAAATTATCGCTCTGCTATCCATGCTGACCTGCAATTCACCTTTTGAATAGCATCACCCCTCCTTTAAAACAAATCTTTCAGGAGAAAAGTCTTCCTACCTAATTATAAGCACAGCTTTAATTCCAAAGCTAGAAGTCCACCAACCCCAGCATTTACCATCAGCAACATACTTAGCTGTATGTGTACTATGGCAGTAGGTTTTCCTGAAGTGAGAGACCAGATATTTAAATCTTCCACTGAATATACATCTTCTATTTTCATCAAGGCTTCTTTGATATAGTCTACATTCAAATGGCTTGGCACACCTATTAGTTCAGAATATATCACTTATAAATAAAGTTTATTTTGGGAAAAAAGTTATACATTACTGATAGGACATTTTTTTTCAAAGAAACCAAATGGCTTTACCAAATTCAGTTTAAACAAACACTTTAAAATATATTAATACTTTAAGATAAACCATGCACACTTTTGGCAGGATATATACAAGAGGTTAATAAATACTTAAAAAAATGTTCATTTGTACTAAAAAGGAATGTCAATCAAACCAGAATACTTCTAACAAATAAGCTAGGATAGACAAAAAAAGAAAAAGAAAAAAAGAAAGGAACATCTAATGACGATAAACCTACTGTTGAGAACTTATATTTACATGCTTATACATAATATCAGTAAGGCAGGGATGTTGAAAATATAACAAAGTAGCAAGTTAAATGGAAGTTAAGGAATACACAATTACATTAAGAATCAAAAGAGTTGCATTCTTGTCCTAGCTCCACAGTTTACTAGCAGCATGACCCTAATCAAGGTATGTTAGCCCTCTGAACCTCAATTTTCTTATGGATAAATGGGGATAATAATGTCTGCCTTACCTGCTTCTCTTAGCTATTATAAGGATCAAACAAATAATAGATGGGAGAGTGCATTGATTCTTATATGTTAGATACATGTAAGGTGGTATTACTACAGCCTGATAAGTATTGGAAGAAAGAAAGGAAAAAACATGGCTCCCACCCTTGAGTGTCCCCCTCCCATCCCCAATCTGATTTAGGAAAGTAATAAGCCCACAATGGGGATATTAGTGAGATCTTACCTTCTAGTATTATAACTACTGTGTCCCATATGATGCGAAATGTTGTAAAAGCCACAAGTAATGAAAATACATATGTACAGATGGGATCAGCGATCTTGTATTCTGGCTGAAAGATGACAGATCAAAATTGTGTGATTAAATATAGACAAATAAAACAGACTGTAAAGCAAAGCATGGCATACTCTGTCTCCTGTTCTGTAGCTTTCTTTAGCAGGACTGGAGAATACCCTTAAACTTGGATATTGCAATTGAGAAATGTCTTCACTCCTTCCTAGATGGTTTAAATGACTCTCCTCGTGGGACCTATTTCCAGAAATTTAATCACTTTTTCTCTTGTTTTCCTCTGTGCCTTCTCTAAATCTTTCACCCAGAACCATAGACGATCAGAGCTAAAAGGAGCTTTAGCAGCCATCTATCTGGTCTAAGCCTCTCATATTATAGAAGAGGAAATTCAAGTTTAGAGTTGGGGTACTTGCTCAAGGTTGAAGCATTAATGGCAGAGCCAAGACTAGCACCCACTCTCTGGATTTCTAGTCCAGTGCACATTCCAGTACCTAGCAGTTCAATGACAAGGCTTAAAACTGAGTTCTCCAGTGGAGGCACTACCCAAGCCAACTACAGATAAGTTACTCCATGAGGTGATGCTATGGTGTTTTGTGCTAACAAAGGAGCTATACTGATGGCTCAATTAAGCTTACAGAAAGGCAAAATGAAGGACTGGCACTGGTGTACAGGATACTGATAAAAGACCATCACTGTTAGTTTTAATGTTGAAATTAAATATGTTTTAAAACAGAAAAACAAGCAATCATATTACCTTGAATCGAATGATGTATGCAGCTATTAGCACACCAACACTCTGCACCAAATCCCCCAAGGCATGTACAAATGCAGCTCTCACCGCCAGGCTATCCTGCCCATTGCTGTGTCCAAACCTAGGACCTGTGGTAGGAGAATCTGAAGGCAGGGAGTGGGAATGGGTGTGATGGTGACCAGACTGGTTCAACAGAAACCCCATTCTGTTAAAAATAAAAGAAAACGTTATTATTCTTCCTAATTTTATTGACAAAACTGTTACTAGTCAGACACTACTGAGGCAACATGGAACTCATAATAAATATTTGAGCACCTATTATGTGTCTGATACCGTTCTAGGTGCCGGAGTCAAAACAGTGAATATGACAGACATATCCCTACCCCCACAGAGCTTATGTTCTAGTAGGGAAGGCAGAGAAGTAAACAAATAAATACATAATGTACTGCCAGTCAATGCAAATGCTTTGAAGAAAAGTAAAGCATTGCAAGGGGATGGAGAGTGATGGGGAGAGTGGTGAGAGAAAGCCTCAGATTCCATCTGAGCAGAGGCTTGAATGAAGTCAGGAAGCGAGTGTTGGTGGAAGAGGGTTCTAGGCAGAAGGAATACCAGGGCAAAGACCCTGAGATGAAAATGTGCTCCATGTGGTTAAAAAAAGCAAGACAGCCATTATGGCTAGAAAAATATGAGCAAGAGTGCTAGGAGATGAGTTGCAGAGGTACACAGGATGTTATTAAAAAGGCTATGGTAAGGACTTTACTTGATTTTATTCTAAGTATGAATGGAAGCCCCTAGGGCAGGGATTGGCAGACCACGGTCTGTGGACTATATTTGGCCACTGCATTTTTTGGTAAATAAAGTTTTATTGGAACACAGCCATGCTCATTTGTTTACATACTGACTGTGGCTGCTTTTATTCTATAACAGCCAAGTTGAGTAGCTGTAAAAGAGACTGTGTGGCTCTCAAAGCCTAAAATATTTACTCTCTGGGCCTTTTATTTATTTATTTTTCCCCCAAGCCCCAGAAGATAGTTGTATGTCATAGTTGCACATCCTTCTAGTTGCTGTATGTGGGACGCGGCCTCAGCATGGCCGGAGAAGCGGTGTGTCGGTGCACGCCCGGGATCTGAACCTAGGCCGCCAGTATCGGAGCGCGAGCACTTAACTGCTAAGCCACGGGGCCGGCCCTCTCTGGGCCTTTACAGTAAAAGTTTGCTGACCCCTGATCCAAATGATTAAGTATATAACTTAAAAATTTGGTAGTTTTTAGGAAAAAAAGTTGGTAGTTAAAAAACATCTAGTTAACATACAAGTATTATAAAAGTTAAATTAAAAAAAAACCTGTCCTACTTAAATTCCTGATTGTTAGTCAAACTTCAGTATACCTGAGCAAACTAATGAAGAATTTATAATTCCAATAGTGTTTTATTAACATTTATAAGAAAAACTAATGTACTATATAATTTAAAAATATATAAAATATCACTGCACATTACTGAATGCACGTACAATAGTCTTTAAGTTCACAGTACTTGAAAATATTGTGAAAACAATATAGAATTTATGATACTATAATGGTGGAAACATGTCATTATAAATTTGTCCAAACCCATGGAATGTACAACAGCAAGAGTGAACCCTAACGTAAACTACGGACTCTGTGTGATAATGTTATATCAATGTGGGTTCATCAATTGAACAAATGTACCACTCTGTGGTGGTGAAGTTAATAATGGGGGAGGCGATGCATGTGTGGGGGCAGGGGATATATGGGAAATCTGTGTACATTCTGCTTAATTTTGCTGTGAACCTAAAACTGCTCTAAAAAATAAAGCTGATTAAAATTTTTTTAAAAATTAGAGCTTACATTATGTTAACTGCAACACCAATAGCTGCGGTAATGAGCATTATATCTCCATTTATTTCATATTTCATATGGATAGTTCTTTGGACAGCTTCATATAGGAGGAATCCCATAAGTATATATACCAACAGCACACTAATCATAGCTGACAAAACCTCTGGAGGGGAAAATATAAAAAACAAATACATTAGCAGCATGGTTATTACACTTCATACAAACTAAATATTGTACAATCTTATATCTTCTTTCCTCTAAGGAGATAAAAGCACTGTATCATTTTTGTCATGTTATTTTTCTTATTTAAAAAGTGTTTAGCAGTTTGATCTGGTCCTCCACTAATTCACTCCCACCACTCCACCCCCCCCATCTCTTTAGGGTGAAATTATGTATATTTACAGACCATACCCATTGGAAAAAATGAAAAACTGAGAAGAAATATTTGTAACATACGTGACTAATTTCCTAATAGAAGAGTACACTTACAAATCAATAACAAAGTGAACCCATAGGAAAAATGGGTAAAAAACTTAGAAATAGTAATATACAGAAAATAAACAGAAATGGCCAATTTATCAAAATCAATCATAAAATAAGAAATTCAAATAAGAATAAGATTTCTTTTTGTCCTTTACTAAATTGGCAAAGATTAAAAAGTTTGATAATAGCCAGAGCATGGATATACTGGTGGAAGTATCAACTGGAACTATCTTTTTGGAGAGCAATTAGTAAAACGAATCAAAATTTAAAATGCATATATTCCTTGATTTTAGGAATCTATCTGATAGAAACACATCCATACGTATGCAAAGATATCTACAAGGTTTTTCACCATAGCTTTGTCTTTAGTATCAACAAAGATCTGGAGACATCTTAAATGTCCACCAATGAGGAACTTAATGAGTAAATTATGATATATACATATAAGGGGATACCATACAGCCATTTATATAAAAAAAAGAAAAACAAAAATCAGGCAAATTGATAATCACAAGAAAGATAGTGTTATCTCTGGGAAGTGGGACTAGGAGCTTGGGGAATTTATTTTTCACTTCAAGTTTTTCAGTAATATTTGAAATGTTTTAAGTTTTTACCACAAATACGTATTACCTTTAGACTAAAGAAAAACAAACACACTTTTAAAGGCATGCAAGTATGCATGAATGCACTTTGACCTAGGAATTCCTCTCCTAGTAATGATATGCATACTCATGCCAATTGAGTTGCACGTGTGCAAAATGAGGTATGTTATGAAGCTATTCATCAAGCGTATATAATAGCAAATGACTAGAAACAATGAAAAAAGTGATTAGTAGGGGCCTTGTAACATGGAATACTATGCAGCTGTTAAAAAAGCATAACGAGGGGCTGGCCTGGTGGTGCAAGTGGTTAAGTGCGCGCGCTCCGCTGCGGTAGCCCGGGGTTCGCTGGTTCGGATCCCAGGCGTGCACGGACGCACCGCTTGGCAAGCCATGCTGTGGCGGCGTCCCATATAAAGTGGAGGAAGATAGGCATGGATGTTAGCCCACAGCCAGTCTTCCTCAGCAAAAAGAGGAGGATTGGCAGATGTTAGCTCAGGGCCGATCTTCCTCACACACACACAAAAAAGAATAAGGCTCTTCATATTATGATAATCTCTGAGATACAGCGTTTCATGAAAAAAACAAAGTACACAACAGTGTATATGGTATGTTACCGTTTGTGTGAAAAGAAAAAAAAGGAATATGTAAATAATGATCTGTACATGCAACCTTTGAAGGATTACAAAATACTGATAAAAAACTGGTTATCAGGAGAAGAGGGGAGGGGAATGGGTGGCTAGGAGACAGGAATGACTGCACTATTTTTGCTTTTATCCCATATGAATTTTCTACATGTGAGTATAAAGTAGAAATAATATTATATCTTTGCAAAATAAAAAATAGGGCAATGTGAAGTATATTTTTAAATAATTAACATTATATTATATTAAACAAGTGTTGACACTCAAAACAATAAAAGCAAGAAAATACTTTTAAAGAAAACTTTTCTTTTAGAGAAACCAGACATTAATTCTGTTAAGTGTTAAAAGGTAAAACAATCTGGAAAACTGTTATCACGGTCGACTCATTGCTCAAAGGTTTCAGGCAGTTCAACTGTATTGGACTTTGATACGTTTTTATTCCAGCTCATAAATTACAACACAGAAAAATTATCTAACAGTTATAAGCTGTTTCCTGAAGCCATCTCATTAATGAAGCCAAAACTCCAATAAAATCCTGTGCATCAACAGAAGAGATGTTGGCGGCCGGCCCCATGGCTGAGTGGTTAAAGTTCCGTATGCTCCGCTTAGGCGGCCCAGGTTCGCAGGTTCGGATCCCTGGCGTGGGCCTACTCCACTCATCAGCCATGCTGTAGAGGCATCCCACATACAAAATAGAGGAAGATGGGCACAGATGTGAGCTCAGGGCTAATTTTCCTCAAGCAAAAAAAAACGAGGAAGATTGCCAACAGATATTAGCTCAGGGTGAATCTTCCTCACCAAAAAAAAAAAAAACAAAAACCCAACAGAAGAGATGTTGGAATAATACAAAAACATACAATTCCTATTCAAAACCATGGTACACCTATTCTTGACATATTAATCATCATACTTCCAAAGAGACAAAGGGCTGAAGAAGACAGAGAAAAGACCAACTGAAATGTACAAGGCTCTGGAGATATTCAGTCCAGACTCTAATCTCCTTGAGGATACAACCAAGTCTTATTCCATGTCACATTACTGTAGCACTCAGCAGAGTTGCTGGCATGTGGCAGGTACTCAAATATTTACAGGTGAATTTGCAGAATGAAGTTAGGTTGAGCAAGGGAAGATAAAAGGCTATACAGTTTAGAAGATTAAGCTAAATATGAATAATAAGTTATTTAGTAAATCCCAAAAAACAAGAAGTAAATAGGCTATAAGAGAATTAAGCCAAATATAAGACAGTAAATGAAATGGAATTTCTTAAGTTATAACTTCTGATGGTAAAATTTATTGTTGTTAGCGCCATCGAGTCAATTCTGGCTCTTAGTGAGCCTGTGTACAGTGGAGGAACCCTGCCCGGTCTTTTTGCACCATTCCCTTATCTTCACTTTGTCGGACAATACTCTGCTGCTATTCACAGGGTCCTCATGACCAATTTTTTTGGAAGTGGGTAGCCAGGTCCTTCTTCCTAATCTGGAAGCTCCACTGAAACCTGTCCATCATGGGTGACCCTGCTGGTATTTGAAATACCGGGTGGCATAGCTTTCAGCATCAGAGCAACACGCATTGGCCACAATATGACAACCAACAGATGACAGATGGGTGGTGTGGTTCCCTGACAGGGAAATGAACCCAGGCCGTGGGAGTGAGAGCGCAGAATCTTAACCACTAGACCACCAGCACTGGCTGATGGTAAAATACATATATATAAATAATATAAAGAAAGAAGAAATAATTAAAAAATATTTAAACTGTAAAATCTCATGTACTAGTGGTAGCCTCCTCCTTTTACTCACAAAGAAAGAGAACTTTAATTCTCTTTAAAATTAGTTTTTAAAAATACCAATCCTTCTCAAACTCTTCCAAAAAAAAAAGACAAAGAACTTTAATCATGTATCGAGCTTGAAGCTAGCAATTAGATCACGACCATTTTAAGGTGCCTTAATTAAATTTTTAATATGAAATTATGAAGCAATACACTTTACATTTATAAAGATTCATAGCTATACAAGTTAATGACAGATGTTATTGCTTATGAAAGTCTAAAACTAATAATTAAAAATTCTTTCAAAATCCCCTATAATTAAGTTGACCACACTTTCCAGTTTTCCCAGGATAGTCCCAATCTATGCCTGTTGTCCTGGCATAGTTATTAAAAGTGCCCCATTTCACTCTCAAAAGTGTCCTGGTTTGGATGATAAATTATATAGTTACCCCAGTAAGTCTGCCAGATAAAATACTGGATGCTAAGTTAAATTTGCATTTCAGATAAACAACAAATAATTTTTTTAGTATAAATATGTCCCACGCAATATTTCAGACATATCGGGCATCCTGTAACAGTGTGTATGTGTTTGTGTACGTGCATGCTAAATGTGGCAACCCCACATCCCAGTGATAATTTTCCTGAACACTTAAAATTTCCTTTTTGTGAACTCTCAGATAAGGCAAAACCACATTCAAAATAAAGTAAAATGCAAGTCAAAGTAAAACATAAACAGAGTTCCTTGGCAGAAAGGATTCCCACCCACAGAAGGCCCACCAGGCTTCTGAGGCCTGCAGCTGAAAACTCGGTTTCCCATGCCACGTTTTTCACCCAGGTGAGTAGCATAGCATTTCACCCCAATGCCTGCCCACAGCCAAGAGTAATGGAATTCAGCTGATTCCTAGAAATTCCCAAAATGACATATTAGGATACAGCTATCAATGATAGTCCTTTTCCAGCAATTAATAAGGAATGTGCCTCATATCAAGTTCCCTTGGTGAAAAGCAAAGACATTCATCTGTTATTTTTTATTTTTATTTTTTTTGTCAGGAAAATCAGCCCTGAGCTAACATCTGCCAATCCTCCTCTTTTTTTGCTGAGGAAGACTGGCCCTGGGCTAAAATCCATGCCCATCTTCCTCTACTTTATATGGGACGCCGCCAGAGCATGGCTTGACAAGCCGTGCGTCTGTGCGCGCCCAGGATCCGAACTGGCGAACCCCGGGCCGCCGCAGCGAAGCGCACGCACTTAGCTGCTTGCGCCAGCGGGCTGGCCCCCATCTGTTATTTTTTATTATAATCACCCGTCAAAACATCTTCTTGACAGAATACTGATAAATGCAAAAGAAAAAAAACCCAAAATTTTAAGCAGATTTTTAGGGCCGAGATTTACAGTTGAAAAGTATAAGGCACAGATAATACTATACAGCTAAAAATCCTTATAGTAAGATTATGATCATTTATTCTGACAAAAAGAACAAAGAGCTTTTTCATTGTGAATAAATTACACTTTGGTGAAATATCATGAATAGGACTAATTAGTGTTTAAAACATTTTTTTCATAGTATTTTTAACATGATGGAATGCAGATAAAATAGGCAAGATGTTTTCTTCCCAAACATTTAAAAGAGGGGGAAGCTTTCAATCAACAAGCAAATTATGATTTGCTC